GAAAATTTAAACCGGTTCTTTGATCGTGACCTTCAATTAAAATATCTATGTGATTTTTTATGTATTGATAAGGTTTCTATAAAATATTTAACTCCCAAACTTTGAAAAACCTATTAATATTCACTGCAAAATAAAACAATTTAAAAATTATATTCTGGATAGCTGCAGATCAAAGAAAAAAGTCATTAGAAGTTTATTAAATTTTTTATTTAAATTTTAAGATTCATAAATTATATATTGTAGGTTGACCTCTTTTTTAAAACAGACTAAATTTTTTTCTAATAAAAAATATTTTTATTTAATTAATAATTGTCAATTTATGTTTTTTAACATTTTTTAGTGAATGAGTTTCTTACAGTATTTTTACTAAACAAAGAAACAATTTTTTCAGAAATTTTAAAATCATATTAATGTTTTAAACTTAAATATTTATTATGAAACTTAAACTAGCATCCAGTTATCAGCACCACGTTCATTTTTGTAAATGTTTAGGTAAACAATAAACAAAAACAAAAGAACATCTATTTTATTTGAAACATAACATAGATAAAATAAAAATCAAATTAATAAATTTTCTCATTTTTCATTAATAAATGGCCTGAAAAACCAGAATGGTCGCGTCCCGCACTTATAAATTTTTTTACCACTCTCTTATTACCTAAAAAACGTCCTGAAATTCCAGGACGCATTTAATTATATTCAAGGAAAAAGTTAGGAATTTTTTTCCTAATTTTTTCGCTATTTTGGGAAAAAATTGCTAAAAAAACAAAAAAGGTCCCGTCCCGTGCTTTTTTATTTTATTTCTAATCTCTTAGTACGCAAAAATCGTCCTGATATTCATAGGAATTCTTTTCCTACATTTTTTGCTATTTTGGGAAAAAAATTGGCATAAAAACCAAGAAAGGTCGCGTCCCGTGCTTTTTTATTTTTTTTTCTAATCTCTTAGTACGCAAAAATTGTCCTGATATTCTTAGGAATTCTTTTCCTACATTTTTCGCTATTTTGGGCAAAGAATTGCCATAAAAAACAAAAATGGTTCTTTTCCTACATTTTTCGTTATTTTGGAAAAAAATTACCATAAAAACCAAAAATGGTCGCGTCCTGCGCTTCAATTTTTTTTGTCTAATCTGTGAGTACCTAAAAAATGTCCTAAAATTGCAGTACTCAGTTAATTTTATTCAAAGGAAAAATTAGGAATTTTTTTCTTAATTTTTCCGCTATTTTGGGCAAATAATTGCCATAAAAACCAAAAATGGTCGCGTCCCATGCTTTAATATATTTTGTCCAATATGTTACTTCCTAAAAAACGTCCTAAAGTTCTAGCATCCAGTTAATTTTATTCAAGGGAAAAATAAGGAATTTTTTAAAAACTTTTCCGCTATTTTGGGCAAAAAATTGCCATAAAAAACAAAAATGGTCATTCCTAAACTCTAATATTTTATGTTCAATCTGCTAGTACCTAAAAAACATCCTAAAATTTCAGAACATATTAAATTTTTTTTAAGGAAAAATTTAGAAACTTTTTTCCTACTTTTTCCGCTATTTTGTGCAAAAAATTTGCCATAAAAGTCAGAAAAGGTCGCGATCCGCGCACTTATATTTTTACATTATCTGTTAGTACCTAAAAAACGTCCTGAAAATCTAGCATCAAATTAATTTCATTCAAGGAAAAAGTTGGAAATTTTTTAAAAAATTTTTTAGCAAATTTGAGGAATAAATGGCTATATAAACCAAAAATGGTCGCGTCTCACGCTTTAATATTTCTTGTCCAATATGTTAGTACCTAAAAAACGTTCGAAAGTTCTACCACCCAGTTAATTTTATTTAAGGGAAAAATAAGGAATTTTTAAAAAACTTGTCCGCTATTTTGGGCAAACAATTGCAATAAAAACCAAGAATGGTCATTCCTGCGCTCTAATATTTTATGTTCAATCTGCTAGTACCTAAAAAATGTCCTAAAATTTCAGCACCTATTCAATTTTATTTAAGGAAAAAGTTAGGAATTTTTTTCCTAATTTTTTCGCTATTTTGGGAAAAAATTTCCAAAAAGCCAAAAATGGTCGCGTCCCGTTCTATTTTATTTTTATCCTAATCTATTAGTACTAAAAAATTGTCCTGAAATTCTTAGGAATTCTTTTCCTACATTTTTCGCTATTTTTGGAAAAAAATTATCATAAAAACCAAAAATGGTTGCGTTCCGCGCTCTAATTTTTTTTGTCCAATCTGTGAGTACCTAAAAAAAGTCCTTAAATTGCAGTACCCAGTTAATTTTATTCAAGGGAAAATTCAGGAATTTTTTTCTTAATTTTTCCGCTATTTTGGGCAAATAATTGTTATAACAACAAAAAATTGTCGCGTCCCGCGCTTTAATATTTTTTCTTAATCTGTTAGTACATAAAAAACGTGTTGAAATTGCAGCATCCACTTAATTTTATTCAGAGAAAAAGTAAGGGATTTTTTTCCCAATTTTTCGCATTTTTGATGAATAAATGGCCATAAAAACCAAAAATGTTGGCTTTCCGCGATCTACTATTTTTTCCTACTCTCTAATTACCTAGAAAGGTCTAAAAATTCTAGCACCCAGTTAATTTTCTATAAAGATAAAGTTAGGAATTTTTTTCCTAATTTTTCCGCTATTTTGTGCAAAAAATTGCCATAAAAATCAAGGAAGGTCGCATCCCGCGCACTTATGTTTTTTTCCAAATCTATTAGTACCTAAAAAACGTCCTGAAATTCCAGCACCCAGTTAATTTTTTTCAAAGAAAAAGTTAGGATTTTTTTCCTAATTTTTCCGCTATTTTGGGCAAAAAATTGTCATAAAAGTCAAAAAAGGTCATGTCCTGCGCACTTATGTTTTTTGTCTAATTTGTTATTACCTAAAAAAACGTTTTGAAATTGCAGCATCAAGTTGATTTTATTTAGAGAAAAAGTCAGGAATTTTTTCCCAATTTTTTTGCATTTTTAAGGAATAAACAGCCATAAAAACCAAAAATTTTGGCGTCACGCGCTCTAATATTTTTTTCTCACTCTCTTATAACCTAAAAAGTTCTGAAATTCCAGCACCAAGCAATTTTTTCGCAAGGAAAAAGTTAGGAATTTTTTTTCTCGACTTTTCTGATTTATTTTAATAAAATGAAATTCAAAACTTTTACATAAAATTAAATTAATTTTTTATAAATCACACTTTAAAAATTTAAAAACCTCATCCTTTTTACTTTAAATTTTGCATTATTATTCAATATTATTTTTAATTTTTATTAAAAAATAGAACATTATTTTTCAAAAACATACCACAACTGTAAAATACTTCCTCCTCTTCACTGGCACTATGTCCATCATCTGAAAATTAACGAAACGATATATTTATCATTATATTTATTATTTATTTAAAATATCATATTTAACTATTTATAAATACAAACCACAACTTAAATATTCGTCTTCCTCGCCTGCACAACGATCACCACATTTGCTTCTTCTTGCTGTTGACAAATAAAAAAATTATTAATAAAACTAAAAATGTCATTTTGATTATAATAAGGTGTTTATTAAATAACCAAAATTCAATATAGAATTAAAACATAGAAATTTAATGATGAAAAAAAAGAAATAAATAAAAAAAAAAGGCGAAATTCACACAAAAAGCACGTGGCAAAATATACAAACCAGACAATAATTAAATTAGAACAGACAAAAACATATTATGAAAAATAAAAAACATACATTTTCATTTGAAAAAAACAGACTTATAAGAATATCCTAACGACAAACAAACAATTTTTCAAATATAAACTAATTCTTTATATTTTGACAAGAAAAATCTTTCCTCAAAAAATAAAAATACTTGCTCATACGATTAATCATGTAATAGATTTTTTAAAACAAAGTAATAATAATAAAAACAACAATTAAAATTCACAACATTTTTTTAGGAAAAATTTTTCTGTTATTTACAAATTACATATATATAAATAAATATAAATTCGTACTTACCAGACATCTTCCTGAAGATCAAACACCGGTTCAATTTATTTTTCATGCGTTTCACATATTTTGACACTTGTCCATTTCACAGTGCTGCACTCTCACCGTCGAATCATAACAACACTCACAACCACGATGGTAACCAACTCGCGTGCGCCTCATATCTCGCACCCGCATGGTAATAAAAACAATGAACTGGACAAATTACAGCCATTTTTATTTCTACTCGTAAATTTCTTTTTAGTATTTCCAGTTTTGAAGAAACATTTCTAAATTAAATTAAACCAAATTTAACACACAAGCAGTTTAATATATTCCACATTAAGGTAAGTTCGCCGATTTTTTAAAAATTCTCTACATTTTTTTCTACAATTATTCAAACATTTGCATTTCTTAAAACAGTGACATTTTCCCTATCAGTGCCGTATATTTTTGATAAAATCTCAAGGGGCCCCTCACATGTACATAAGGTTAGAGTGTGTTAGTTTAAAAGTTTACCAGACCGTCGAACACTCTTAATAAATGTATTAATAAAGAAATTTTAAAATGTTTACATTTAAAATAAGATAATTGAAAGTACAATGCAATTCAATAATTAAGTTACTAATTACTTTAAAGTCCTATTTCTAATTCATCAATAATTTTCAAAAGATCACTTAATTCTTTTATGGTTGATATTTTTGTAAATTGTGGAAATGACATTATTTTATCATCAACATAATCATTTACCTTCATATTACTAAAAACTGCAACCCTTTTTCTTATGTCATAATTATCTTCAACTCTTTGAAGTCCAAAAAAAGAAGTATTTCCTCTAGTAAAACCCCACTTATCAAAAGGAAGTATTATGTGGTCCAAATGATTTTTTAGTTCCGAAAAAGTTATTTTCTTTTCCACATTATTTAAATTGTAGCATTCTGCGTTTACCTATATAAAAGAGATTGAATAATAATTATTATATAATGAAAGTCTTAAATTTATATTACTCTGTTTACTGTAATTCATATCTTTAAGTAGTTAAAATTATAGGTTAACATTCACTTAAAAAAAATTATAAATACTTACTGTGGTAATATTCTTATACATTATTGCGATTATTTTCTTTAAAATCAAACACTATATTTTCAAATATAATTTTTTATTACAATATAAATGCTTTTAATCAGAAACTTCGTGAACTTAAGTTAATTATATAAAAAATAATATTAAGACAACATGACACTACAACAACATAGCAGACGACTTTCCATAGGAATATCAAAAGTTTCAGGTTTTTCCCGTTACGAACGCCACCTCCGACTATTCTAATTTTCCGGAATGCTTTTACCATAATTGGGGACATTTTTCATCCAATCGACACATGGAGTGAAGACTCCTTATTCATACATCGTGTTTTGAATATAGAAAAGACTTAAATATCATTGGTTTGCATTAAAATTTAATCCACTTTGTGTATTTTCATTTCAAAATAACAAAATATAACCTATAGCTTCTAAGGTCCCTTTCTTCGCGACACGTCACATATATATATTTTTTTTATCACACATGCTCAAAAAACTCGCTTTTTTGCGAGGGGGAATTTACTCTGGTAGTCAAGTGTACACTTGCCTGGTAATACTCGGTAATACCTGTAATATCTGTAATATTTTGTAATGTCTTGTAATAATAAGTATTATTGTGTAATATCATGTCCCAGATAACAAAATGTGCGCATGTTAACTGCGTATAAGCCGGACCACGTGCAGATTGATGGAACTAACGTGCCGGCATTTGAGTAGCGCAATGTAAGTGCCATTGCTGGCGATATCACCCGCACGGTGGTCCGGCGCACGTTAGGGCGCCCGATGGTCCGATGCATATCTGCCTACATTTATTATACCAAAATGGTAAATAACTAAATTTATAAATTGTAAAAATAAAACAAATATATGGAAAAATATTTATTTTTTACTTATTTTGTATAATACTGAACACACTTAAAATTAAACATAAAAGTATTAATAAAATTAAATATAAGTTAAAAAAATAAAAGTAATTTAACACTTAATGTTACACAAATCTCTCGACAATTTTTTCTTTAACTTTTTTATACAAATTATTCTTGCATGTCCATGTCCTCATCATCATAGTTTCCATCATCTTCGTCACCGTCATATTGCTCGCTGTTATCATCTTCATCACCGTCATTACTGCTATTATCGTCTTCTACTTCATTTTGTCTTGGTAGTTGTAAACTTTTTTTAATTTTATTTCTGTATCGCTGCTTCGTGCTTTTTAGTACGTCTAACATAGATAACTTGTAAACCTCTTTATTGGCAGGCCCTTCGAATAAAGAACATTTACAAGCAGCTCCTATAAAGACATAAGAAAATTGTGTTTTTCATTATGCAAGAAAGTAACAATTTTTTATAAACAATGATTATTTTTTACATTTGAACTAAATTTTTAATACAATTTTTTATTTATGCACGCTTAGAAATTTTTTAATTATGTTTTAGAAAGTTTCGAAATAGATCTGATGAGATTTTTTATTTAACTGACTTTTTTTAGTAATACCTATATAATAAGAAATATGGTTTAAAAAATTTTTAAACCAAAAGTATTTTAGTTTGATTTTCTGCGAAAAACCAGACTTATATTTTACTTTTCTAAAAAGCTCATTTAAACATCAGTCTCATAAGGCTCACTGAAATTTTTTGCAATAAATTATTAATATTTTTGGGAATGTATAAAAGGAAAACTTACAAAAATCAGGGTAAAAAGTTCATTTGTTTATAAACATTTTTTAAATTAAAAAAAGTAATAATCATTAAGTATCAGTCTAAAAAGCTACATAAAAAGCCATTTCATGTAAAATTTTAAGTCGACATTCAAAATTTTTTTTCTTTTTAGAAAAATATAAAATTTTCTATATCTCATAAGCACGCAAAATTCGTTATTTTACACATCTAAAGATTGGATCTAAAGTTATTCATTTTTTGACCGAACGAATACGACGTTTTTTCGCACGAAAAATAGCTTTCACCAAACCCTGACTTCAGATTTAAGAAATTGCTACATTAGTATCTTTGGCTTTTAATGTTAACAAAGAAGATGTTTAAATACTCACGGTAAAATATGTTAGACACTTTAGTGTCTCCGAATTTTTCTGTTTCACTTGTTTTGTTCCAAGTAAACTTGGTTACCAGTTGGTCCGCCATTACCTCTTTGAGAGCGCAGCTCAAAAATTCTTTTAATTTAGATCCACCAAGTCTCACCAGGTGATCGTGCTGAAAAATGTAATGAAGATATATGCATGTTTTAAGGTATTGAATTCAATGATCATTTATTAAAATGCTTACTACTTTTTGGCGAATCTCTTTATTCTCATCAGCTTCTAAAGCTTGAAACTCTTCTACCGTTTTAATAGGGAAACCTATCAAAGGTTGATACAATGTCTCCTCTACAACTCGGTCAGAATCTGAACGCAACTGCAGTAAGTGGAGAATTTCTGCATTCTGATTCTCTAAATTGCTGTTCCCAAAAAATGATGGAAAAACATTAATAAAATTCTATATATAGCATTGCCTATGGAAGACAAACTCTTATTAACACTAACAAATTTTTAACTTTCTTTTTTAAGATTTTCTTGAAGATAATTTATATATTTTAGAAAAAATGTCCCTTTACAAAAAAATTTCCGAAAAATTTTAATTTTTATGCAAAGTTTTTAATATAAAAAATAATAAAATTACAATTTTTTATTGAATAAATCATTACATTTTTGAGTTACAAGTTACGAAGAAAATAACAAAAGTGTTCATTAATCGTTTGCTAAGTCTAAAAAATGTGAAATAAAAATTTTTCATTCTTGAAAAATAAATGTTTTGAGATTTTCTGTCGCTTCGATGAAAAAAAATATTTAAACATTTTTTCGTGATTAGAAAGTTGCACACTTTTTATATTTGTCTAGCGACTTCAAATCATATTTTTTTAAAAAAAATCGATTTCCTCTCTTTTACGCTTTTTAAATAAAAAATAAAATTTATTAATAAAAAATTTCAAATTGTTGTTTAAATAATTTTTTCAAAAAATTAACTCATTTTCTGGAAAGTTTTCCAAATGAACATTTTTCTTGAAATTGATAATTTAGCTGTTAAAAAGCTGTGGGTAAAAGAAAGATTTTCCAAACTTTCAATTATTATTAACATTGAAATTTTCTTGATTTATAAATAAACTCTTACAACATAACATTGAGGATATAATATGTTATAATTTTGCTACATATGTGTAAAGAAAATTTCAGATTTCGACTATCCCTTCCATAGGAAACGCCCTATAAAAATATTTTTATAATAAAATATTCCACTCACTCGAATCTCCGCAACACTTCATTTTTGAACTCCAAAAAATCGTTTTTAAACTTCAAATAATCGTTTTTGAACTCCAAAAATTCGTTTTCACCGCCATCTTGATTATTATTATCAAACATATTAGACGTTGAATCAGACAAAAATACTCTGAAAAATATTTTTAATTATGTGGAAAATATTTCTGTAAAATATTTTATCTATTTTTTAATAAATTTTAATAAAAAATTGAAAATATTAAATAAGTCTTGAATGTTGAGTAGAAAAAAAAGTGAAATAAATATCCATACTTTTTGTCACTCTGTAACTTATTTTGTAATAATTAAGATTTTTAACTTTGATGACCACCTATTAAAATTGGAAATTTATTGAGTGAGTGAACTCACTTCTGTAATTTAGTTTTACTTTCCTGTTTAAAAATTTGTGTATACTCTAATTTTGATTTATGTTGGAATTATCTATTTCTTAAACGATATACACATTTTAAAAAATTAATACTTACAATTCTGTAAGACCACCACTGTCATTAACTATTTGCATGGAATTTGGAGACATGGGCAGTGCGTTCTGTCTTAATGAGGTCACACTTCTGTTGGAAAATAATAAGTATGGTAATATATTTCACGTGAAAATCAAAAACAAACTGAAATGTGTTAGATATTCCACAAAGTTTTGATTTACAAATTTGAAAGAGGGATTTTCTGCTTTGGTTGGTATAAGCTCTGATATGCACCTAGCTGTATGCTTCCAGAATTTGATGTTCCTGCATTCTGATTTCCTGAATGCTGTACTTTGTCCGTCCTAGAATATAATTTATTACTGTTATTATTAAAATTATTTTTCGAAACAAATTAAAAAGTTTTATTGTAGATATTTCACAAAATTTTTACTCACTTTGAAAGATCAATTTTCTGGATTTGCTGAGTTGTGGTCTGATGTGCACCAACTTGCAAGCTTCCAGAATTTGATACTCCTGACTTCTGAACTTCTGAATGCTGCTGTTGGTCTCTTCTAAAAATAGTTAAAATGAAATTGTTTCTTAATTTATTATTATATTTAGTATATTATATTTATTCATTATTAAAAAAAGTTATTATCAACATTATTTATTAAGAAACACTACAGAATTTTCCTTACTGCTTATCAGTTTCTAGGTTTAAACTTATCGCCAGTTTTTTCAAGTTTTTTAAGCTTCCGGTGACAGTTTTTGCTTTTTTGGATATTTTCGGGATAGTCTCTTCGTCAGAAGTGCTTAAAATGTTCTTAGGTGTTGTAATTTTTCTCCCTGTACTGGATACTCTTAGGGTATTTTTAATAAACATTTTGTTTACTGTTTTTGATGCAACTTTTGCTCCTTTGGCTTTCTCGATTGCCTACAAAAAAATTTAATAACTTGTTAATCGTGTATCAAAAATTTTAATCTTGTTTTAATGCACACTGTATCATTTTGTCATGATTTAAATGACACACAATTTCATGAAAGTGGTAGTTTTGTTTTTAATTGTGAATACAGGGTTGCTATGTTTTGCCTCGAACAAAATTCCCTGACTTTTCCACGAAGCTAAACTACGCAACGTTTGCAAAGAAATTTTTTATTTTAAAGCTAAACATTTGGTTAACGTTTAAAATTACAAATACGTAATCTCGGCGAAATATTTAACTTATGAGGAACATTTTTCAGTTAAATATTGAGCCTAGATTACGTATACGTGTAATCTAAGCGTAATATTTAACTTAAAAAAAATTTTTTCGTTGATAAACGTTCCGTACTTCAGCTTCATACTTTTTCCTCGATTTCCAGGGCTCAAGTAATATTTTTCTATAATCTGTTGAATTAATTAATTTAACATTCCTTCGTTGACAATAAAGTTAGTTTAATTGAAATTTAAACTCTTTTGACAACATATATTTATATTAATAATTATTTTTTGCGTTAAAGTTGATAAAAAAAGTCTCCAGTTGTTTTAAAACTGAGAAATAAGACTTATTTTTTAAAAAAAGTTGCTAAAGTTTATTATTTCTTAAAATACCCTTAAAAAGATAAAAAAAAGAACGTGTCCAATTAGGTCAAAAATGAAAAATAAAACTTAAGAGGAAGGACCAACCATTCAAAATTTACATTGTTTTACATGCGTAAATTTTTTCTTGCATTGTTTAGGATCTGAAATTATGTAATTCAAAAAGCGTAGCAACCCTGGAATATTAATACAAAATTTAATTAAGTTAGCAGTTTCATATTACTTTTTTCAACTTAAAATGTAAAAAAAATTTCACTATTCAACTTTTCTTATTCCGATAATATATAGATAAATTAAATTGTATAGTTTTAAAAGTTTTGCGAAGAAACAGTATGTTTTCAAAGACTTGACCATATTGGTATAAAAGCATTGCGTTTCTGCATCGTGTGTCTTGTAATTGCTCAAAATTTTAAGAATAAATTCTTACAGTATTTTTAAGGGACATCTTTTTGACCGCATTAGGAGGTGCGTCTTTCTCTCTCATATTTTCCATGGCCTGTAAAGTAATTATACAATTTTTAAAACCATAGTTTTTATACTTTACTATATGTAAAAGTGTAATAATTAATAATATAAGTAAAATAAGTAATAACAAAAGCATAGAAAATGATTGAGTTTTTTATACACGGAAGTTGGTGATACATTAGTTACAAAAATTTTGTTTAACTTAATTTGAAATTTAACATTTTATAACTCATGAAATGTATTATTTTGTAATATTTTTGTTGCAATAATAGATACTTCTGCTTATTGAATTATTGCGTAACAAAAATTTACTTTTAGTATTAATTAAAAATTATGGCAAAATTTTTTTACTCACATGATATTATGTAGCATACAAGCTTTTCAAATGCTTCTACATAAGATATTAAATTTGAGGAATTTCTTGTTGACTGCATAGTACTGAACATACCCAGTCATTTTCTATTACATTTTCTTCTTGTCCTAGTGCAGTACTCCAACAAGGCATTCTGTAACATTTGTCTTTCACTTGATTGAGTGAAACTACTTCCATTGAATTCGACAAGTTTGTACACTTAAATACCCCAGCAACTTCAGATGATATTCCAATGTCGTATACACCATTCTTTGTTCGATAGGCTTGAAAAATGAGAGAGAATTCGTCTTCTACCTGCACAATGTTCTTTATTAATCCAATTCTTCCATCTTGGAGTTGGATACAGCAGTCACGTAAATTTTTAGCAAGTGTAATCTTTCCAATTATCAATTTCTGAAACTGTTGGCATGAATTATCTAGAATTTCTTGAGGAAGAGGACCTTCGGCATGAGGCAATGAAGGTTGTATGCGAATGGCATTATCAACCGGCACTGAATTCAAATGATTTAATTCCTTAATTATTTTATAATACTGTTGAAGAAGATGATTAGGCTTGCGTATTAACTTGCGAAATTCTGGCATGTTATTTTCGTATCCGAAAGAACTGTGAGAATCCAAATCACTAAGCTCTTGAACATCAGAGACTATGTGACACGCCGCATGAACATTATAAGACATGAATTGCAGTCCATAAAGTTCTTTGTAAAGATTTACGTAAGTTTCCATAGCTTCCTGACAAAATTTCAAGAGTTCTTGAGATATATTTTTGCGTACCAGAAGACGCAAAACACCGTTCAATATTAAAAAATGATTATAACATTCCTCTTCAAAAATACCTTTTAATAGAGATGGCATTGTGTATAATGCAATTTGCCTGAATTCTGTCGCTTTAAAACAATGAAAAGCAGACAATTTGTTTGGCCTTCGATTAAATTCTGTAGGACAATACTCTCGTAGCTGCATCATTCTACTATTAGCGATGTCTATTTTCCTGCCGGATAACCTTTGAATATTAAATTTTCCTTCTACGTTCGCTACTATTATTTTTTTGACATTTCCTATCCACATACTGTGCAGTGATTCAAAGGGTACTTGTTTTACTAAATTTATTAATCCTGATAATGGACTTCTTCCTTCATGATGATTCTCATCAGTCATATTTCTATATTCTTCACCAGTGCGCAGTGTGTGATTGACTCCCTCGTAAGTCATTCTATTCATAAAATGGACACCTTCTATTTTACATTTCGAGCAAGGTTTAGCCGAGTTGTGAGAGGAATGAGCTAAAATCATGGCCCGTGCAGGAGCGTCTGCAATGAAGCAATGAATTCTTAGAAAAGTTAGTTTATTGTTGATGATAATTTCATCTCTGCAAATTTGAGTGACTTCGTGAACAAATTCCTCAAAAAAGTCAAATGCATTTCCTGGCTTTCCATCACCTACAAAAACACCTGCAATTAGTGGTTTTCTATCTCCTATATTAAGAATTCGATACTGAATGGGCCAAAACTGCTTCGTACTCTTATTAACTTTGGCACCATCAGTGCTAAAGTCTATTAAAATTATTTCAGGCAACATATTTGCTGGGATATTTTTTAGCTTCTTCTCAAGAGTCGATCGGAAACCAATATGTAGGTATTCACCACCAGCCATGGGTCGAAGCAAACCAGTTACAATAACAGTAGGAGTCTGGAGAATTGTTCTACTATCTTTTGGAAGAAAATTTAAATTCAAAGGAAATTCTCGGAAACATTTTAGAAGGATGTTACACTGACTATGCTTTAAGTTGGCAGACAAAAATGCGTTTCTTATTGATCTTTTCTTTAATTCAGCTAAATTAATGAGAGGAACATCTTCATCTTCTGAAATAACTTCTCTAGCATTATCATCATGTTCTGAAAGCTCCTCAGATCTATCAGTAAATGTTTCGCTATCACTGTCGTTTTGACCTGAACTTTGACTTTCTTGATCATCATCACCCTGATCGTAATCTCCATTGCCATCTCTATCATTTTCCCCATTGCCATCATCGTTAACGTCATGTAAATAGTTCACTAGATGCAAGTCGTTATTTTCAGCTTCATTATTGTCATCTGAATAATTTTCGCTTTCTGTTGTGGAACCAGAATCGTCAATATTTTGTATGGAATCAGAAGCATCATTATTTCGACAACGCATAATACGTAATCGCTTTCTTTTTTGATTTGTACTAAGGTCAAGAAATCTCTTATTTTTATCTTTTTCCATAATTTTTCCCTCTCGATTTTACGAAATCTATGTGGTAGAAAAAATTGTTGTGTTAATCTCGTATTACTTAGAAAAATTATAAGTAAAGCAACTTAAACAAAATAATTTCATGCCTTGTACCACTTATTTAATGGATAATTTCAAGATACTTGTGAAATTTTCGAAATTTAATTGAGATAAAATTACTTAATATTTTATAAGACTTGAAGTGCAATTCAAAATTTTCGAAAAACATAATCAAAAGTTTTACAAGAAATCATTCCACATCATGGCTGATAAAAATCATAATTTTTTTAAAAGAAATAATAACATTGATAAAATAATCTCAATACATAAACAAAATAAACTATTTCGAGAAACTGAAATGAAATAAATATATTTTAAAATCAAATTACTTTCATGCAAATTTTAAAAAAGTAACACTTAAAGAATCAAAGATATTATACAAAATACCACAATACCAAAATTAATTGAACCAATACATCACCAAATTCCTAAAGACTATACGGATACTAGAGTAATATATGCATTTCCAACTCATACTACATTATACAGCAGTTTATTTTAGACTATCAATAAATTATAGCCAAAATTTCATTAACAAAAATTGTCCTTCTAGTTCTGAAAATTAATTAATTCTGAAAGTACAGAATAATTTTAAATCGATTTTCACAGAAGTACATCAAATAATAAGAGATGATTTTTTTATTATCTATTTCACAAAAAAGTTAATAAGTTTTATACCTACTTAAATAGGAAAGAGGCGTTTCACATAAAAAAGATTTATATGAATTATAAGCATGCGTTCCAAATTACTCTAAAATAATTAATTACTTAAAAATAAAATATTTTACGCTAATAAAAATATCCCAAAAGATACATGAAAATCACACTAAGTATTAGTTTTATATGTGCAAAGAGAAGAGTTACCACTATTTCAGATCTATATTATTTCAATAATTTTATCAAAGTTCCAAGTCATAAAAATGAAAATAACATTTTTATTTAGAATAATTTTTCGTCCACCACGAAACATTCTTTTATTCCCCTTTCCACGAAAAATAAAAAAATAATACGTTATTTTATGTCATGATGTATTATAGAAAGAAAGATTTCAAAAAAATGAAATAAACAGAAATAAACACAAATTATGTTTAAAAAATATAAAATTACATCAAAAAATAAAAAAACGTTACTAATTATTATTACATTTTACATTATACATTACCATTATTTTCAAAAATAAGAATTTTAATGAAAATTAATAAATGAAAATAATAAATTAAACAATTGATTTGATATATATCAGGATTGCCACAAAAATTTGATTATTATTTGATTCCCTGATTTCCAGACATAATTTTGAACTTTTTCCTTACCCTGATGAAAGACGTTCAAGAGGTGTTCAATTAAAAAAACAATTTTAATTATTATTAATTAAATCTAAAATATGTAATAAAAACTGATTTTATTGTTAAACAATTAAAAAAAACGTTTAATCAATGTAAAAGTGACATTAACATAACCTTATAATTATTAGCTTCTTAGGTCCCCTTTTTTTTGCGTGGCGTCACATATTTATAGAGTACAAGAAGGAAAAAAGACAAAATTTCTGTATACAAAAAAATATACACTATAAATAAATGAAATCTTAAAGCAAAATTAATAGTAGACCGCATGGCCACGCATGTCGGTCGCTAGAAGAAGAAAAACTATACAATTAATCTTAACATACTCACTTAATCCGAATTTAATTCTTCTGTAATAATCAGCACTGCACTACAAAATTAAAAAAACAAAATTCACCTCAAACTCAACCACTTGATGCATATATATCACATATAAATAAACTTGCAATAGTTGCAATTCGCGTTGTAACGAAGACGTTAACCTTTATGAAAATGGCGTGTACAAATGGTCGAAACCAACGTCGAAACTGAAAAAGACTGCGCAGCACAGAGGGAATAAAGGCCAACGCACAATAGGTTCGCGAAAGTCGTTCGCGACCGGCACAATGCGGCACGGAGAAAAATGGAAAAACGAATAAAGTAACTTTTACTACTTTAAAAGTAAAATTGGACCTGTCCGAAGTTTCTGCGCATCTCTGGCAACTTTTACTCGAAAAATAGTAAAATTGACTATTTCTGTAGTAAATTTTACTGTTTCCGTAGTAATTTTTACTATTTCTGAAGTAAATTTTACTATTTTTGGAGTAAAAGTTGCCAGAGATGCGCAGAAACTTCGGACAGGTCCAATTTTACTTTTAAAGTAGTAAAAGTTACTTTTTCTTTTTTTCCGTGGGGTAACTTTTGGTCGCGTTAAATTTTGAGCGGCACGAAACATGCTTAATAACATGCACCATGTCTGGCGACCGTCGGGCGGCTAACGTGCCTGGCACGTTTGTTATCTGGGTGTAATACTGTGTAATACTTGTAATATTGTGGTATTTTGGTGTAATACCTTAAAAATTTTTAAGAAAATCAAACCAAAAAATGTTAATAGAAGTAAAAATTTTAAACACTAATTCAAATGTAGCGCGGGAGTTGATGCTGAAGTATAACAACTTTGCCATAGGTGGCGGTATCGAATGTTTACAGAATCAAATCAGAAGATGGTTCTTTAGTAATTGGCCGAATTTTAGCTTTTAGCTACCTAACTGGAATAAGTAGAAAAAATCGAGTACAGTAAGATATCTGCTTCTGTAATTATACCGAAACAAAATGGACGAGGCTTAGGTAGTTTGTGTTCGTGGTTTAAGATAGCAAAAAACCAAATATTAAACGTTATAAACATGGATGCTCACGGATAAAATAATATAGAAAATTATATTTGTTCAGTTCCTCGTCCAAAAATAAAAACAAATAAGTTATATTTATCGTGTTCTTTAAAAGAAATTTCAAAATATTTGAAATAATAGTTATTTACATTTTAAAAAAGACAAAATTTATTATTTTCTTTTATAAGTAGGGTAAATGCACTAATTGCGGTGCGATTCGAGTCAAAACACCTTTGAAATAGAAAATTCGACATTTCTATTGTATAAACTCAATTTAAGACTTATTAAACTCAAATGTTATGTTATTTAGATGTTAAAAAAATGTTTAACTTTATAAAAATCGATTATTTAAACAAATATGAGAAATTAAAAATAATACCGTAATTTTCTATTGCGGCGCGTTTGTATATCAATGTCGGAGATCAAAATTACGTGTATTTTGAAAATACTTTACCCGCCGAAATTAGAGCCAATGGAAACATTAAACAAGGAGGGGGCCCTTTATGTTTATTTCATAAACATTTTGCTTCCTCATTGTGTGAAGCAAAAAATTTGCTTCCTTGTGGATTAATACAATAAATTTCTCCGATCCAATTGATTGATTTAAAAAATTTCGAGTTGAAAACTTTTTCAAATTAATTAAATTTTTTGAAAAATTA